TCTGCTCCTTTGTTTAGTGTAGACTGAATTCCATCATCCACCATTCTAGGTAACTCGCCATCAAGGTGCACTTTGAACTGTCAATATTAGATGGTTGGAGACAATTACACGGGTAGCCTCGAACCTAGGTTTCGTGCTAGTTGGCAATTAGCTGTCAGTAAGACTTATCTGCAACCCCGAAGATACTAATGTCCCTTCTAACTAACTAACCAGTGTCCAGTCAGAGTATTCAGTACAGTCCAACTGAGGGTTCAATCGTGAGCTCAAATAGCTCAGCAGTAGCGTCTCTGACTGACTGCAGCACCGAGCGACGTGGGTTCGAATCTCAAACGGGACATGATTTCCTTCAAGGTTGCAGATACGCCCTGCTGATGAGTACCAACTAACATGAAACCTAGGTTCAAGGCTTCCTCCCAATTCCCTCTAACTGTTTAATATCTGGTGTCATTTTTATCGCTGTTGTTGTCCTATCTCAGCTAAGTGATTCCTTTGCAAGGCCTTCAGCCAATTTAGAGGGTGAAGCCACTTCACATGTATATTTTGTCGTCTCATCATTTCAAATTCATACCAGTAAAATAAGGGTTGTTTTTTGTTTTGTTTTCTCTCCACATGAGTTCACATAAATATAATAACAGTTTTATTCTTGACAAACCTGTAAACAATATGCAGAATATCCAGTACAGTTTATTGCATAATGTTTTCTCTTAATCTAGGATCTTCAAATAAAAGAGCAGTCTACACTATACCATGTGACACAAGACTGTTCAGTTTGAATCACTGACTAATCCCCCCTTTAGATATTATTCCCCTCTCTCCGAGACATCCATACCAGGAGCCTGAATGGCGATTAAAAATGTCCATAAGTGCGATTTGCAACTGATGGACTTAACTGAATGGTTCAAACAATAAGAATTAGAGAAAATATGATGATGCATTGTGTTGAATGGCGGAAATTCAGGTAACCTAGTGATTTAAGCAAGCCACTGCCTTCAACATGTTTGCTCTTGTAAGCATATGCTGTTGATTCACTAGTGAGAACGATCATCATAACATCCTTATTTTAAGTTTATTTCATAACTAAATCTTACCGTTATTAGACAACGAAGAATACAATGAGACCAAAGCATGTGCAGTAAAAAAAAGATAAGCTCCGAAATAACGAGAATATAATAATTTCGAAACCCGATAAAGGCTCTGGAGTAGTAATAATGAATAAGACTGAATACATAGATAAGATGAATGGAATACTCAGTGATCATCGAAAATTTCAAAAAATCACGTCTTCCGTCGATCCAACAGAAAAAGTAGAGAAACAGCTAATCGAGTCACTAAAAAGACTTAAACAACAAAGTAGCATCATAGAAGGTTTATATGAATCTCTAAAGCCTACTGGCACAATTACACCAAGATTATATGGACTTCCAAAAGTGCACAAAATTGGTTTACCACTTCAACCAATGTTAGATATGTGTAATTCCCCATACCATGCCACAGCAAAATAATTAGTCAAGCTCCTGAAACCTCTGCATAATGAGTTGGTAAAACATAGCGTAAATGGCAGTTTTGAATTTGTTGGAAAAATAAGAGATCTTAATGTGAAGGACAAGTTTATGATATCTTTTGATGTATCCTCCTTGTTCACCAACGTACCTTTAATGGAGACAGTCGATTTTATATGTGAGGAGATCACTACACGAAACATAGACATCGGCATTTCTGTATCCACCTTGAAGGAACTTATTTTAAGATGTACAATGAACGTTCATTTCTTATTCAATAAGGAATATTACAGACAAATTGATTGTGTAGCTATGGGTTCCCCATTAGGCCCAATCCTAGCTGATTTTTTCCTCGCTAAGTTAGAGAATGGACCACTGAAAGGAGTAATTAGTGACTTGGATTTCTACTGTTGATATATGGATGATACATTTCTGGTCATAAAAAACGAGAACGATGCAATGAACATCCCTGACAAGTTTAATGATGCCCATTCAGCAATAAACTTTACTATAGAGAAAGAAAGTAATGACTGTATCTCATTCCTACACGTCTTCACGGCAAGGAAAGAAGATGGCACACTAAGAAGGAGTGTGTACAGGAAACCTACTACAACAGAACAGTACACTCATTTTTTGAGTTTTGTACCTTTGAAATATAAACGCAACCTGGTAAAGTGTCTGGTTCATAGAGCTAGGTTAATCTGTTCAGACGACTGCTTCAATGAGGAGCTTAAGATTATTAGAGAATTACTTAGAAAAAATGGTTATCCAGATAAGTTTATTGAGAAAAATATGAATTCATCACCTAGGACAGTGACTATGGCAACAGTTCCGAAAAAACCACTGTTCATAAAACTTCAGTCCCTCGGCGACAACATCAGCGAAATAATAACACAACGACTGAAGAATGCAGTTAAAAGAGCTTATTATGCAGCAGAGGTACGCTGTCTCTTCACAACCACACCTATCCTACGTTCGAGTAATAAGGATAAGCTACCTAAATTCGCCTCTTCTATGTGTATCTACCAGTTTGACTGCAGCTGCGGAGCCAGCTACATCGGGCGAACAATTAGGCAGGTTCATCATCGTATTTTCGAACATCATCCGGCATGGTTAAGCAAGGGACAAACAAAATCTATTCGTAGCTCTATTTTAGCCCACCTTGTAGATAGTGAGCATAAGGTTAATGTTAATACTGCATTTAAAATTATTTATCGCATTCCTACTAATCTTAATTTTGCTTTACGAGTTCGTCTTCTACATACAGCTGAAGCAATAGGAATCCACCTGAAGAAGCCGATTTTGTGTGTTCAGAAGAAATTTGTACAGCCACTTTCCTTACCTTGGCCATCGTTACATGACTGTATAAACCGGACTACTCCATCACCCTCCCCCTAGAATATTTTTTCTTTTAAAAAATTATAACTGTCCAAATTATTTTATTTTTCTGACTACTTCATCTTTAATTACGTGTTATCCTTGTAAAAATTATTTTATTCTTATGACCACTTAAACTTTAGTTACAAATTATCATTGTCCAAATTGCTTTATTTTCTTTAACAATCTGTTACGTAATCAACCTGTGCACACGCTTATTCCTTAATTGCTCTTCATTTTTCCAAAATTATGCATTATGCAATCCACGTGTTGTAACCATTTCCACCTTTTAATTATATATATTATTTTTCTTCGTTAATTATCACCCCATTGACATTTTGACACCGACTAATTATTGTTAACAAACATATCGCCACTTGATTGGTAAATTGTTGTGTATTGTAATTAAAATGCTATATATATTAGAGTAGAGCCAGAGATGAGGATCTAATTGAAAAGTAAATATTTCTTCGCTCAATCTTTCTCTTTTCTAAAAACAATTCTAGACCATTCATGATATTTCAGATTCCTCCACAATTCAAAAAAATATCAGTGCGTAAATATTGTCGTCCTATTGCGTATTTAAATAAAAAGTAGTTTTTTAAAGGAAAACAGCTGAAATCACATCATGACGTAAGTGTATCGATGTAGTAAGTGGACGTAAAATTTATATATATATATATATATGACTACAGAAATAATATTAATCTTATTTTAGAGACACATTTCTTTTCAATAGAGTTTAAAGTCATTTTTCATGCCGATACTTGTCTTCCAGTCAACCATGACAACGAAATACGCCGTTTAACAACATTAATAAATAATCTTAAAGATGATAACTCTTCTCCACACCCTACCCAACCTCGCCAGATACTAGCTTACTAGTTTTCTCGCCGGTCCCAAGTCCAGGTAAAGAGGGAGGGTTGGGACGTGGTGCTAGCAACTCCACCACTGTAAAACAACCAAATCGCTACAGAAACTTCAACGAATAAATATATTAAAAATTCTAAAAACATAAACAATAGCCTTATTTTTCCCTGGAATCGGCGGAGTAAAATGACGCAGGCTGGTGAAAGCCTTCAGAGAGCCACTCAGCCGATGTGCCTTCTTTCGATGAAAGCAAAAGTAAGGATAGGTACCTGGAATGTTCGTACAATGTACGCAACTGGAAAGGCTGCCCAGGTAGCAGCAGAAATGAGGAGATATAGAATAGAAGGTGCCAACTACCTACTGGAGAGACAGTAATCTATTCCGGCCACCTAGAGGACAACCATGAGCACACCGAGGGAGTGGCCATCATGATGTCACCAACAGCAACCAAAGCTCTCATGCAGTGGGAACCAATCTCCTCCAGGATAATGACAGCCAGGTTCAACTCAAAAGGAAGGAAAGTTACAGTCATTCAATGCTATGCGCCTACAAACGTCTCAGAACAAGAGAAGAAGGAGGCGTTCTACAGACAACTACAAGCAATAATGGACAACGTCCCAAATGGCGATATCAAAATCCTGATGGGCGACATGAATGCGAAGCTGGGAGGAGACAACACAGGAAGAGAACTCACCATGGGTCGTGAGGCCCTCGGTGAAATGAACGACAATGGTGAACTCTTCTCAGACTTCTGCGCCTTCAATGATTTGGTGATTGGCGGTAGTGTGTTCAAACACAAGGATATACACAAGACGACATGGATTTCACCAGATGGAAACACCAAGAACCAAATAGACTTCATCTCAATTTCAAGAAAGTGGAGACGGAGCCTACTGGACACAAGGTCAAGGAGAGGAGCAGATGTGGGTTCAGACCACTATCTAGTACAAGGGACTTTCAAGGTGAAACTAAAAGCCTCGAGGATAGCTGGGGATAGGCCACAATGCAAGTTCAACACTCAATTACTGAAGGACACAACCACAAAAGACACTTTCACTGCAACTGTCAGAGCAAAGCAGGAAACACTACGCGACATCACTGAAGAATCATGCGTGGAAGAACATTGGAAGTCTCTGAAGGCGATTCTCAACGAAACGTGTTCAACGGTTCTAGGAAGAAAGAAGAGACAAGACAAGGAATGGCTCTCAACGGACACTTGGAAATTAATAGAAGAGAGGAGAATGGTGAAAGAGAAAATGATTCAATGCAAGGACGGACAGGAGAAGGAGACGCTGAGCTCAACTTACACAGCACTGGACAAAGAAGTGAAGAAGAGTGCTAGGAAGGACAAAAGACGATTCTACGACAACCTCGCCACTGAAGCTGAGAAGGCAGCAGGCAAAAGGGACCTGAGGACACTATATCAGATAACCAAATCTCTATCCGGGAAGAGATCAACACAAGCGAAACCTATAAAAGACAGCCAAGGGAACCCAATTACCAAGGAAGAAAAACAGATTAAACAATGGGCGGATCACTTCAAAGGACTCTTGAACCGACCATCACCTGCAACCCGTCCAGAAATACCAACAACAGCGCGCACACAACTGCAAGTTGACACCAATCCTCCAACGAGAGCTGAAGTCTTGAACGCAATCAAGCTTCTGAAAGCTGGAAAAGCAGCCGGACCAGATGGAATACCCCCTGAAGCACTGAAAGCAGACCCAGAGACGACAGCAGACATGCTGACTCCATTATTGCAAAAGGTCTGGAAGGAGGGAAAGGTGCCTACTGACTGGAGGAAAGGTTACCTCGTGAAACTACCAAAGAAGGGCGACTTACGCCTCACTCTGCAAGAACTGGCGAGGAATCATGCTCCTATCGACGCCAAGTAAAATCCTGAGTCGCATCATCCTGGAGAGATTAAAGGACGCACTGGAGACAGAACTCCGACCAGAACAAGCTGGATTCAGGAAAGGCAAATCATGTACTGACCAAATTGCAACTCTACGCATCATCATCGAACAAAGCATGGAATGGCAATCAAACCTCTACCTCAACTTTATAGACTTTGAGAAGGCCTTCGACAGCGTTGATCGTGAAGTAATTTGGAAATTACTCGAGTACTATGGCGTACCCCAAATATTCATCAACCTTATTCAACAGCTGTACGACAACGGCACCTGTCAAGTGATCCACAACGGAAGACTCAGCGAGGCGTTTGGAGTAAACACAGGAGTCAGACAAGGGTGCTTACTATCACCAATGATATTCCTAATTGTGGTGGACTGGATTATGCGTCAGACAGTGGGAAACGAGAAGACAGGAATATCCTGGACCGACGTGAAGAACCTAGAAGACCTGGATTTCGCGCGTGGATGATTTATGTTTGATGTCACACAAAATCGAAGACTTACAAGCGAAAACCGACAAACTGGTCGAAGAAGCAGAAGGGGAAGACAGGACTCCAGGTAAACATAGACAAGACGGAGGTTATGAAAATAACCAACCAACAACAGCAACAACATCCAACGTCAATCACCATCAACGGGAGGGATTTGAAAGAGGTTACTTCATTCACTTATCTAGGGAGCATTGTCTCAACTACAGGACGAGGATGTCAAATCGAGCGAGAATCGGGAAGGCGAGAAACACATTCATCAACCTGAAACCAATCTGGAAATCTTCGTCACTCAGCATCAACAACAAAATTCGGTCGGATTTTCAATACAAACGTCAAGTCAGTCAGTTCTTCTATACGGATCAGAAACTTGGCGGGTCACAAAGAATATTTCCAAAAGGCTGCAGACCTTTATTAACAACTGTCTTCGCTCTATACTGAAGATCAGATGGCCGGAAAGAATCACCAACAACGAATTATGGGAACAAACAAAGCAAGAACCAATCGCCCAACAAATATGCAGGAGAAAGTGGAGATGGATGGATTGGACACTCGCTGAGGAGACCGCTGGGTGACATCGCGCGCCAAGCCCTCGAGTGGAACCCGAAAGGGAAGCGGCGTGTGGGACGTCAGTGCAAGGGTGACATGGAGGAGATCGTGTGAAGAGGAGTTGAAAGAATATGGATTAACATGGATGCAGGCGAAAAGTATAGCAGAAGACAGAAGAAAATGGAGACGTGCAGTTGAAGCCCTATGTTCCACTAGGAACCCAAGGGAGCAATAATAATAATAATAATGCACCCTACCCAAGTTGCGCTAGATATTTTACGTCTAATTTTCACGATCTGTCATCCCCTTCATCAAAGTTTTGCTGACAAAATAGATGGTTTATGTTTAAAAGCAATTCTTCAAATAAAACTGTGCATACCATTATTTATTCTGCAAGTTCTGTTATTGCCTAACCCATCCTAATTTTTACATAAAATACACTGTATGAAATTAGAAGCAAATGCCTAGATTTATAGTGTACTACTTACTAGTAGTTCGTTTATTAGACACAAAAAAAACTGACTTCCCATGAATAAGTTGCTTAATAAGAGTGTACCACATAAATCCAAAAAAATATCAAAAATAATGTACTAGATTGAATAAAGTGAATACAGCGTAATTTTGTTATTCCAATCGGAACGTGAAGCCTTAAGTTTAAACCCTTAACTGACAGAACCACTGGCGTTTCTTTTCATAGAGGGGGACTGTTAGTCTCACGTCCAAACCTGCTTATTTAGCAGTCTTGTTTTGCGTTAAGACAGTACTTAAGATTACATCAGCCCTGGAATCGAACCCTGGACCAGGTGAGGTATGGTAAAGAGAGTGTTCTGTCACTGAATCACCATACATTTATCTAATGTTTTTCTGCCTATAGCAGTTATCTAATGTATATTAGTTTGCTACAAAATCCCCTTTGAGGTTAGCTAAATGCACAAAACCGACGGCTGAAGTTTTACTCATTGTCAAAACTATGATGGACTTCTACTGTCATTGATTATAATCCTTATATTGATACACTCAACGCACTACGTGAGCAGAATCATATTGATTGGATTGATATAGTTGTTTTAATCACGAAACTTTTGCTGTCTTTCTATCGAAAAGCTTCAGCGAAAGCTTTAATAAGAAGTGAACTAGTAACAGTTCTCGATGAATGATATAATTATGTCCTCTGATAACCATTGTTGTGATTGATGGTGAATTCACGTTATTTAATTTTTATTAACTTTGGATTTGAACTTTCTCATCATGTGATTTATTTTTTATCAGTCGGTAAATTCGACCCATGATAATGTGTTTATAAATCAATGATGAATCTGCATACCGGGCTTGTATAAATTCCCTGGCATATTTTGTGTTCCCCAACCAAATTAGTATCCATAATTGCCTGCATGCATCGATATGAAAGAGCACATGTCGTTGGTCTTTTGGTGCTTAGTTTATGTTCTTGGACTCGGAGTCTAAGGAGGTGCCCACTTTGACCAGTGTGGTGTTCATTGCAATTTATGTATTTTATTTTTTCAGTGATATTGATCTTATCTTCTCTTATTGTTGGAACCTTTGTGATCTCCGCAATACTGAGTGAAGTTATTGTATTGATTAGTGTGCTTGGTCTATTTCAAACTGTCTTAGTATGATAGCCATTATCTCAGAGATGTCATCGGTGGCACAGTAGTTAAGACTCTCGCCAACCATGCACATGGTTCGGCGTTCGAACCCCTCCCGATGCCCACCTGATATCTATGGTCGGCCTGCGAAATTTTGGCTACCGATATCACATGCTGAGAATTCCATACCTGTACCAAAAATACGGTGTGGAATCAAGCTGCAATCAAAAACAAAATCAAATTTATACATGGTAGGATGAACTTTCTTGTAGATTTTGAGGATGGTTTCTTGAAATATGCATATGAGCAGTAAATTTCTATCATCTCAAAAATTAATTTGTGGGAAACCTTTTCCCTTTAAAAACTTCGGCAACTTCCCAAGTCTTTCATTTCCATATCATAATGACCATAAAATCGTTGGGCGGGATTTGTAGCTAACGTTTTTATTTCAGTTTTCGAATTTAGTTACGCAAATTTATGTTCAGAAGAAATGACAGTCTGTGCAGAACCTTTCCACGTTAGCTTCTTTAAGTTAGCTGATACCAATGCCCATAAACAGTAATTTAAGTAAAGGAGAACTGTGGAACGTCTGTGTACCACTGAATGCAACATTTTAACATGAATGAATTTTCGATTGGTGTTTACAGATGTTAAATAATGGTAAACATTCATTAATTATTCCCTTAGTTTCCCAGTGGAATATAGGGTTTCAGCAGCACATCCTCCCTTTGTCATGTTCCCCGCAGTCCTCTTCAGCCCACCCAGCGATAAACCATATAATTTCCTCTCTTTTTCACACGATCTCCTCGATGATATTGTCTCACCAGTACCCAGCTCATCTTTTCCAATTCGAATCCCACTAGACTATCCAGCAAGTAACGTCACCTAATGATCTTCTCAATGTGTGTGTGTCTGGTTTATCTCCATTTTCTCCAGCATATTTGATCAGCAATACGTTCTTGAATGTTTCGTTCCCAGAGTTCCTTGTTGCTGATACTTTCTGGACACCCAACTCATATTCATTATGAAGGCAGTGAAGGTAACTGTTGAGAAACGTCTGAAACAGCCTTCTGGTAATGCTTCTTGTGACACTGAGTGCAAGTTTCTGACCCTTATAGGATCACTGACTTACTTAACTTGAATCTTGAGAATCCGAATCTTGTACTTTATGTCAAGGACAGAAGGTTTACAAACTCAGTTTCAGAGTGATGAATGTCTGCCTTGCCTTTCCAGTTTCAGTTTTCCGTGCCTACTGCCTGCAGTTGAAAGGGTGATGCCGTCATAAGTGAAGGAGGTGACCAGTTCCAAATTACTCCCGTAGATAATGATTGGTACTCATTGCTGCTGGTTGGTTGGTAAATACGTAGAGTAAGTTACTTTCTTATTTAAGCAGCTGTGATGAAAAGTCAATAACTTCCTTTAGATTTCTTCCGTTAAAGATTACTGATGTTTGTCCTTAGGCGGTTACCTTTATCACCTCTGTCTTCTCTATGTTCGCTTAATTCTCATGTCTTCTATGACTACCTCTTCTTCCAGATTATTGGTTTACACTTGCAAGTATTTGAATTAATGTTATTTGAGACATAAATCGCCCGCGATGTCCAGTTCTTCTGCAACCTCCTTATCAGTCGAATGTTACCTGTCTTCTCCCCCTTCACGGACTTCCACGCGACAAATGCCACTACAAATACGAATGTCATTGGTGATAGTCAGTTTAAATTTTGGTAATATTTCGAACAAACATCTCTTTTACTTTATAAGTTTAACTGTTAAAAGATGGTTTTCTTATTTATTTCAGTACTAGTTATTATATAGCGAAACGCCAACCAGTATTACTGTAGCGAATTTAAACCTTCCTAATGTTCTGGTGTCCACAGTGTTCTACTTCAGTGAAACAAGTGTCAAATGCTTCTTTTCGATGTTTCCAAGTACTCATCACAGAGTATTTTTAGTGTGTACTCTTTATTAGAGTCTAATTACTGAAGGTAATTACAGAATCTTTATGGTGTTACAATGTGAACAACCGCTTGAGTGAATTCCGGATCATTTGAGATTTCCTAAAAGGATTCAGATATATCTAAAAGGTGCATATTCTTAAAATACGACAAAATGAGACGTCCTTTCTAAATATCTAACCTTTGAATTAATATTTTTAAAACTCCATATCATCTCCAGTAGAATACAGAACTCTATGATTTAAAGATTTCGTGACAGTGGTGTTGTTTTCATGGGGTAGAGTTGTCCAGTCTCCAGCCGAATCTTCTCTCTTTACTGGACCTAATACTGTCTAGCTAAGATTTAGAAGTGCATCAGACAGAAACCGAACCAAGACCCTCCATGTGATTGTTGAGCATTCTACCATTGAACCACTTATACACAATATGTAAGATCCCTCATCTGAAACTGTTTTGGTATGCATTAACTTAGACAAGTGCTCGCGGAAATAAAGATAATGAATCCAAAATATTCTTCACTATTTCACATCTTGTTAGCATGTTAATGAAGTAACTGGAATACTC